TGGCTCACTTATGATCAGTTATTTAACTCTATATTGAACTTTTTCCTATAAAGTGGCAATTATCTCTACTAATGTTTATAGAGCTAATGAGAATGGGAGTGTAAAGTTCTTACAAGATGTATATTGGGTCAATAAATTCCAGAGCATGAACACTGGCAGAGTGTGAACTGCTGTTGTCATTATTCTTTATCTAAGGTCCTGTTTACCACCAGGTCCTCCAGTTGCACCTTCTCCACTGTGGAAGTGTCTCTGATCTGCAGGAAGAGGGTTACCTGGGTGGGGCCCAGTGTCAGGCACTGAAAGGACAAAGTCTTTCTTGCCTTGTGCTTTCATCATCCCCCTGGAAAGATGGTCTCAGGCACACCTGCTCCAGGAGATGAAAACTTAGGGTGAATCATGCTAGGGATGAACTCAAAACCCTTAACACCCCCCACCTTCTGTGCTGCACCAGCTCCTGCAGGCCTCGCCCTCCTGCATAAGCAAACCCCAGATCCTACACCAGAAGTGGCCTGCACTCCACCCAAGGAACGCTGTACCCTAGTTGGAAGGAAGCTACTGCTAAGCACACCCCAGGCCTCCGATCCTCTGACCACACAGCCAATGTGGCGATCTCCACCTTCTCCCTCCACACCCATCCCCAAGTAGCCTGTGTCCCCTCAACATCCCTGTGGGCTGGGCCTCACAGAACCCAGCTCCAAGGAGAGAGCTCATCTGCAGAAGGGACAGGACAACGGACCACCAGGAGAGGAGAACACCAGTGTTTCTACACAGTAGGTGTCTGAGGAGTGAGCAGGCAGCCTCTCTTGTAGCTGAGCTCTCCCAGAACCCCGGACTCTGACCACCTTTGAGGGGCCTCTGGGGAGTCCATGTGGGGTCAGGTGGTTGTGGTGTTGGGAGTTAGCCATGAATGTGCTTAGCAGGAGAGAGAATTCTGGGGACAGGGCAGCACCTGGCTGTCCCCACACCACACAGGCCCATGGAACATGAACTCTGGGAAAAGTGGGCCCACAGGACTCCCTGGGTCCCTGCTGGTTTCCCTCCCAAATGCATGTCCTAGAGTCACGGTCCAAGACAAGATGCCTTCACCCATCCTGGCCCTGCAGGCACAGCCTGTCCCCTCCTGCCCTACCCAGACCACTCCTTGGCTCCTTTTCTAGGTCTCCCTGGACTGTCCTAGCATGTGCCCTTGGTGGGGTATGTTTGAAGAAATTAGTCTCTAGGACACATTTCTGAAGATACATCAGGAAAATCCCTGGTCCCCATGAGAGTGGGGAGGAGAAGGGGAATGGCACTCAAGCTTGTGACAGAGGGGGCTGACTTTAGGTTTCTATGATGAGCATTGCACCCAGCCTTCTACAAAAAATCCAGCCTAGTCACCCTGGTCAGAGATCAGGGACCCGGGACCTACAGGAGCAGCACATCCTAGAGTCTGTATGTGGGGAAGGCTGATGCTGAGTTTGTGGGAGAACAGGCCTTGCAGCTCTGCCTCTCTGTTTCAGGGTGCAGGTCCTCAGGCCCCTAGGCTCTGTGCACATAGAGTCCTTCTGCCCAGGTATGAAATTGGCTCCATGCCCTCACCCGACCTCTTCCTCCTGGGCTCACTCACAAGATAGTTGTCTCAGTTCGGTTATCCCAGGAGAAAGCGGACCTTTATTTCCTCCTCATCCATCACAGACCCCTTTCCAGATGTCTGTTAGCCACACTCATGCAAGCTCACCAGCCCACCCCACAGAGAAGGGTGTGATCACTGAATCAGTCCTTTAAAAATGTGGAAGCTTGGGTGATGGCTGACCTGGACACCTCGCTCCAGGGTGGACCTGAGGCCGTGGCGCCCCCACGGTAGAGTGAACCTGGGTCCCAAGGGATGGAAGGGTCCAAGGCATCCAGCAGCACCATGCAGGTCAGCTTCAGGTACCAGCACTGTGGTCAGCCCCTGAAACTGAACACCAGCTTCAAGATCCTGGACCTCATCACCATCCAGGAGCTCACAGATCCATTACTTACCACAGCCCAGGCTAAACCAGGAGAGACCCAGGAAGAAGAGGCTAACTCAGGGGAGGAGCCATTTGTGGAAATCAGCCAGGATGGTGTCTCACGCCAGTTCATCCCCCCAGCCAGGATGATGTCCACAGAGAGCACAAAGAGCTTCACACTCATTGGGGCGGCATCTAATGGCAGTACCGTGGAGAACCTCAGCCACAGACTGAAGGTCACCGGGGACCTTTTTGCCATCATGTTGAGCCAGACAGATGTGGACCACCCAGCCTATGAGGAGTGTACAGATAGACTCCTGGACTAGCTGGATACACAGCTCAATGTCACCAAGAATGAGTGTCAGAACTACAGGCGCTGTTTGGAGGTCCTGGAGCAAATGAATGAGGACCACAGTGGGCAGCTGCAGAGGGAGCTGAAGGAGCTCGCCCTGGAGGAGGAGCGGCTGATCCAGGAGCTGGAGGAGGTGGAAAAAAACCACAAAGTGGTGGCCGAGAACCTGGAGACTGTGCAGGGCAAGGCTGAGCAGCTGGGCCAGGAGGAACCCCAGTACCAGTGGGAATGCAGCAAATTTAAACAGCAGCAGCTGGAGCCGGACGATGAGCTGAAAAAGACCAGCGTCTTCAATGCTGCCTTCCACATCTGACAGCAGGCAGTTCAGCACCATCAACAACTTCAGCCTGGGGTACCTGCCCAGCGTCCCTGTGGAGTGGGACAAGATCAGCGCTGTATGGGGCCAGACTGTGCTGCTGCCGCACGCCCTGGCCAATAAGGTGGGTCTGAAGCTTCAGAGGTATTGGCTTGGTCCCTATGGAAACCACTCATACCTGGAGTTGCTGGCAGACAAATCCAAGGAGCTGCCATTGTATTGTTCTAGGGGGGGCTCCGGTTTTTCTGGGACAACAAATTCCTTTTTGTTCACTGAGTTGAACTGAAGTTGATGTATTTTCACTGGATTTTATCTCTCTGGACTTCTTCCACTTAAAATATGGAATAGAAACTGTGGTCTCCACTGAGACCCTGAGACCCTGAGGTGTGTGAGGCACACATTGGATGACACGGGAAAACGATGTCTCTGCTCTGCCTGGCCACCGTGTGATGCGACCACGTGATGCCATCCCAGGAGCCTGAAACGGAACTCTCTCTTCCCTGGGTTCCTTAGTGAACCCTGCTCCACCCTGTAGTGTGGTGGGGACAGAGTTCAGTCTCTGATTCTGAGACCCTCTGGAAACACAAGCGGCTGGCATGAGGGACATAATTCGAGATTTTAGTTGTAAATTAAAACGAAAATTCCGGTCGTAACCTAAGTTGTTCATATGTCAGGCCGGTCGTAACTTGAGAATCCACTGTAAACTAAAAAGCGCTGCATTTGTCTCTGGGATGGCGAGTCTCCGGCGCTCAGGAAGACCGTGCGCGCCCTCTAGTGGACGCTTCCTGCCAGAAGAGCAAAGGGGCCGGAGAGGGGAGCTGGGAGGCTGACCTTGGAGAAAGGGCAGGTTCAGAGGGAGGTGAAGATGCAGGAGGAAGGGAATGAGATCGGAGGGTACTAGGGAGGGATAGGGAAAAGCAGGGTGAGGGGAGGCTGCAGGGGACACGCGAAAGATGCGCAGTCGGGCTCTCGTCATCTCGCCACTGATACTTCCTTCAGGTGTAAGGATCAAACGTGTCTCCAGACACTGCCAAATACCGGCTTAGACGGCAAAACAACCCCCCGGCTTAGACTCACTGCTCTATGCTGAGCTCCGGTAACAATTCAGCAGATGAAATCCTTCCCCTCTTAGCAGAAAAATTGTGTACAGGAGTGGCAGACACTGACGTCCTTGATACTGTGAAAATGGCTCTTCACTAATCAGCCCCGAGTGCCCAGAGGCCATGGCCCCGAGGCTTTCTGTGCCTCAACAGCAGGAAGGCGGTAGGTTTTCCAGGTCTATAATCACACACCAGGGGACACCCACTGGGCTATCTTCCAACCTGGGACATGAGGAATCCCATGGACAAGGAAGGAGGAAACATCCACAGCCCTGGACAGTCCCTGTGACAGTCAGAACCTTATAAGAAGTCTGACAGAAGGACGCGAAATCAGCTCTCTGTATAGCAAGAAGTGTCCTCGGAAGAAAAATAGGGGAATTTCTCTTCACGTTCCAAATTGTATACTTTTGGTTACTATTTAAGTAAGAATCCACCCCCAAGCAGACACAGTGACAGGACAGAGTTGGGATCTCATGCCCAGATCCAGGGTCCCTGGGCCCCACCCTGGACCACAGGAACTCTTGCTGCTCCCTCATTGAGGGGGGAGGCAGAAGCAGTGATTTTAAGGCACTCACCTGTCACTTCTCAGACTCGGGCTAATTCTGCTGCCCACTCTTGGATTTAATACTCATGTTACAGCCTGGGCACCCACAGTGAACAGGACCCAGATGAACAGCCTTACACCCTGGAAATCTAAGTTCGCTTGTATGCTAGGTAGGCTCCAGGCCAGCTCGCACCATTTGGAGCTGGCCAGCATCCCTGCTGCAGCTGCGGACACTGGTTGCAGGTCTCCTGGTGACCTTCAGGGGGCGTCTTGAGGCCACACAGCCAACATTAGGAGGTGGAGATGCAGCCTCGTTTCCATCTCTTACCCCAACAGACCCTGTCTGGTGCTTCCCACATGCCTGATCTGTTCCACTCCTTTCCTGATCTCTGAGGACCTTGCTCTACCAGGGGTCCCTGTGTAGCACCCTTCTTCCTGGCATCGCTCATGGGTAAAGATGGGGGACCACAGGACAGTCAGAAGGGCAGAGGACAGAGGCTACCCAGAATGGTCAAGGAAGACATGGGCAAACCTGAGCCCCAGCTCAGCTAACACATAGAGAGGCAGGTTGTCCTGAAACTTTCCCCTGAGGACTATGGAGCCCACAGCCACCTGACCTCCCACCCCTACAGTCCTTTCTTTCCAGGACACCACAGTCACCTCTCCCTGTACATCAAGCACCTGTGGTGCCTTCTGCAATAATGATGCTGCCTTGTGTCCTTGGTTCTGAGCTAGGTGGTGACATGAAATATAAAGGGTGGGTCCTTCTCACCAGTCATCACATAGCAGGTCTCTTTTTACCCCCCAGTGCCATCTCTGTCACCTTCCTGCTGGGAACAAATCCCACCTTCCTAGATACATGAAATTATGGGCAATACAGGGCCCCTCTGGGTTTTGGTTCACAAAGGGAAACATGCTCCTGGGTTTGGGGACCCCAGAGTCCTTGGTGGTGCTGACAGCCCCACCTCCAGGACAAGGAGAGGTCATAGCTGGGGGTGAGCTGATCTTCTCTGAACAAGGTCTCCAAAAAGCCTTGCTCCTCAAAGTGTGGTCTGGGTGTTGAAAGGTCACACAGGGAAAGAGGAAGAGGGCACAGGAAGTAGCCTTGAAAGGGGAAGTGACAGAGAATCTTCCTGGACAGAGACCCTGCTCCCAGCCTATGGGATATTAGGAAGTACTCCTGCCCTGGGAGGAAGCTCAGCCCACAGAGAGGAAGGACAGCAGAGCTGACCCACCCAAGCAGTTGTGCTTTGGAGCCATTCTGGAGACGAAGCTCCCCCCCACAGACGGAGTACAGAGCAGGCAGCAGAGACCATGGAGACACCCTCAGTCTCTCCCAACAGATGTGTGTCCCCTGGCAGGGGCACCTGCTCACAGGTGAGAGGGGATGATTCCCTGGAAGTAGGAGGGAGAAAGGGAGAACAGATACTGGCTGGGGTCTCCTGGGAGGACAAAACCCTGAGAGGAGACATAGGCCTTCTGTTCAGAGCTTGAGAGGAGAGGACTCAAAAGAAGGACAGATGTGTCAGTAACAGGAAACTCAATGAACTGGAATTGATGAAAGGGGAGGAAAAGCTCCACTGTTAACCGTTCCCAGTAAATCATCACTGTCTATTCCATTGTGAAAATTAATGTGAGCTATGTCTGGGTGACTCTCCAAATGAAAATGCAACTGGAGCTAGGCATGGTGGTGCATGCCTGCAATCCAACACTCTGGAAGGCTGAGCCAAGAAGATCACAAGTTCAAGTCCTGCCCAGACAATTAGTAAATTAACGAGACCCTCTCTCAAAATAAAAATATATCTATAAATTACTGGGGATATAGTTTAGTAGGAAGACCATAAATTCATTCCCAAGTACCACCACCACCCCCGCAAAAAAACGGCTAAGACATTAAACATTGTCCTTAACCATCAACTTCAGAATTTGAGAAAAAAAAAAAAAAAGGCAAGGGATTTAGCTCAGTGGTTCTGGCACCTGCCTTCCCCCAAAAAAAAAAAAAAAAAAGGCAAGGGATTTAGCTCAGTGGTTCTGGCACCTGCCTTCCAAGCACAAGGTCCAGAGTTTGATTCCCAGTACCAAAAAAAAAAAAAAAAGAATTTGAAAAAAATAAAAGCACAACCAGATATTCCAGGCCCTAGGAGCCCTTGCTCATTCATCCACAGTTATCTGACTCTGTCCCAGGCCCTGGACTTCAATAGAGATCAGACAGGTCCCTGCATTCATGGAACTCTTGCCTAGTGGACCAGAAGAGAGACCAGCAAGGACATCTAGAAGGAAAAGTCAGGTGTTGACAAGAACCTTGGAGGGAAGAGAACAGGAGAAGGTGAGAAAGTGAAGACCCAGGGTCTGTAGAGGTTGTCAGGGAAGGTGTCTCTCCAAGATGGCCTGGATGTAAGGGGTGAGCCATGTAGACACCTGGGAAAGAGTATGTCAAATACAAAAAATGACAACTTGAGGGTTGCTGAAGGAGTGGAAGTCATACTCCTGACTTTGACCTAGTAGGAGACACACACACAAAGATACACACCCCAGCGAGGGATGAAGATATCTGTTGAAGACCCAGGGTCCCGTCTTTCCATCCAATATGAAGGTCTCGATACTGATGTACTTCTCTCTCCTCCATTCTAACCTCACTTTTAACCTTCTGGAACCCACCCACCACTGCCCAACTCACTAGTGAATCAGTGCCCTTCAATGCTGCAAAAGGGTGGGATTTTCTATTTGCCCACCATCTGCCAGGGAGTCTTCAAGGCTGTTTCTTTTTTTTTTTTTTTTTTTGGTACCGGGGATCGAAAGGGCTGTTTCTGATACAAAGGGGAAATGGCAATCAACAGTGATCAAATTGTAAAATATGTACCACTCACTGAAGCAACTACCTCCGGCCCTCATACAGCCTTTAAAAGACAATATATAAAGAGACAATATAAAAGACAATATACCCCAATGGATCCCTACTGCTCCAGAAAGTCACCTAGGAGCAGTGACAACAAACTTTCAGAGCTTCAGTGATACAAATAACCCACTGTGGCACACACGCCTAGGTTCACCACCACTGCCCTGGAGAATGCAGGATACTACATTCTGCAAACCTTAAACAAATCTTTAGTATGAAGAAGCATCTGGACAGTTCCACATATACCATGAGTGATTCTTTACAACCTCTGGATGTGGGATAGGGATAATTCCATTACGTGCGCACACACGTGTGCACACACACGCACACACACACACAACTGTCAGACCTGAACTGTGCCTCACTCAAATTCTGTATTATGTCCCCATGTGGGGTTCAGCATTTCAGGAAGGACATGCACATTGAAAACACACTTCAATAAATCAGAATCTTTTACCCCCTGAACCCACATTGCAGAGAGAAGAGGTTAACTTCCTGGGGTCAGCTGAGGGAGATCAGTCTCAGCCCAGCCTCTAGACTTCTCCCCATGAATATGTCCTTGAGAGAAACCCTATAGGACTTGGACAGGGCTGGCCTAAGAGACCCTATCTTAGTTACTTCCTCATAGTTAGGACAAAACATCTACACCCACAAGTGAAAGGAGGAAAAGCTTAATTTAGCACACAGTTTGTAGAGGTTTAATCCATAGTCGGCTGGCTCCATGGCAGGGTGGTATGGCAGAGGAGAAACAGTCCGTGGCAGGGTGGGCAGAAAGAAGCAAGCCCGTCTTCCTTCTTTCTCTTTATATTTCACCCAGTCTACAACCCTATTAGTTGGTGCCATCCACACCCAGGTTGGGGTTTCCCACTTCAGTAATTCCAGCACCCACAGCCATGCTACACCAATGAGTGGACTAATCTAGTTTTCACACACCCATAATCCAACATCACACACCCATGATTCAGCCACCTCCGAAAGCTCCGCATAGGAGTACCTGAGGCTTTGGGAGACATCTAGATATAAGCGGTAACATTCCACCCCAGCTCCCAAAAGACTTTATGTAAAAGGCCTTTAGTCCACCTCTAAGAGTTGCCAAAGTCCTACCAGTTTCAGCCTTGCTGAAAAGTCCAAGTCCAAAGTCTCTTCTGAGATTTAAGGCAAACTCAGCTGTGAGCCCCTGTACAAGTGAAAAGAAAGTTAAACACTTCCAACATTCAATGGCACAAGATAAACACTTTCATTCCAAAAGGCACAAATAGGGAGATAGAAAGGAATGGAACAAAGCAAGACCAAACTCCAGCCAGGCAAACACTAAGTCCTATAGTTCCAGGTCCAACATCTGGTGCAACCTGTGGCAAGATGTGAACTCTACAGGGCTTGGGTGGCTCCACCCCTAAAGCACTGCTGGTGGTTGTAGCTGTCATGGCTTCTCTCTTGGACTGGCTTTGCTCACTCCTTGCAGCTTTCCTCAGATGATCCACATTCCTGGCTTCTCCAACCTTCTAGGGTCTCCACTGCATCTTCAGCTTCACACTCACAGCTTCACACACTGCCCTTCATGGCCTCCCAGGCCTTCTTCTGAAATCTAGGTGGAAGCTTTCCTGATTCTACAACTCTTGCATTCTGCACATGCCTAAAACCAGCACCATGTCAATGACACTGACATCTGCCACCAGCTGGAGCAGTAGCCACACTTCCTTCTCTCTCTTGGCTGAGGGGATCAAGTACTTGGATTGCTGAGCACTATGAACCCAATTCAGAGAAACAATTTCTCTAGGTTGCCACCATTCTGGAACATGGTGCCCTGAGGCTCTGTTCTCAAAGCAAAGTCTTTCACCTTTGCTATTTTGAGGCTACATAGGCTAGAGTCCTGGTGGTTCTTATGATGTCCTCAGGCCATCTTTTCTATTTTCCTGTTCCTTCTCAGCAACCAAGTTCTCCTCTGCTTCATCTTTGCAGGACACAAACTTACTGGAGCTTTCTTTCTGGCTAACCTTAAAACTTTTTGAATCATTCTGCGGGGTACTTTGCTCTTGATTCTCAACATAGATCTAGCTAAAAATCCCCAACAGTAACCATGCCATTGCCTCAACATGGGGCTGCCTAGAAATTTCTTCTGTGAGATTAATTAGTACACTGCCCTTAATCTCTGTCTCCTGCAAAACCCCAGGACATGAGCAAAATGCAGACAAATTTTCTGCCAGAGCATAATACACATAGCCAGAGTCCAATTGCCAATGCAGTTCTTCCCAACAGAAAACTCTTGAGCCTGGTCTTTACTGGCTATATTACTTCTCAGCATTCTGGTCTTCTGAACACCGACCAGAATCTCTCATCAAGTTCGGCTTACCGCATTCTAGGGCTGCTTCTCCAGCCAGCATCTCCAAACCTTTCCAAACTCCTCCCACAAACCAGTCCCAAAGGCTTCTGGACCACATGGTCAGGTACTCACCCTGACAGTTACTTTCTCATTGCTAGGACAAATACCAAACACCCACAAGTTAAAGGAGGAAAGGTTTATTTTAGCTCACAGTTTGTAGAGGTTTCAGGCGGTAGTCAGATGGCTCCAAGGCAGGGTGGTATGGCAGAAGAAAAACAGTCCATGGCAGGGTGGATAGGCAGGAAGGAGCAAGCCTTCTTTCTTCCTTCCCTTTTTGTTCCATCTAGATTACAAGCCTATTGGTTGGTGCCACCCACACCCAGGTTGGGGTTTCCCTCTTCTGTAAATCCATCATCTGTACCCCAAATTATTCTAAACCAATCAGTGGACTAATCCAGTATCACACACCCATGATCCAGTCACCTCCCCAAAGCCCCATCTATGAGCACATGAGGCTTTGCGGAGACATCTAGATATAAGCCGTAATGTGGTGTATCAAATGACACAATCCTTCAGAGCTTGGAGAAAATGTGGTTAACAATCCAGAAACTAGATAACCTTGTTATTATCTTGATTCTGATCTATACATGATGTTTAACCTTTGACTAAACACTCAATCTCCTGAGCCTCAATTTACTCCTCTGTAAAATTATAATGTATCACCTTCATCTTAAGGTTGCTGTGATGATATTTATTAGATTCATGAAATTAAAACCCTTAAACCAGGATCTTACACAGAGTCAAGGCTCAATCTATGCTGTCAACTAGTATTGTTTTCATAAACTTTGTTATTAGTTATTGAGTCAAGTAGAACTGGGTTAGCATTTCATTGAATCACTTATCAGTTCTATGACTTTCTTTGCTTAGAATTTAGGTGCCAGAAAGGAACAGACCTGATGATCAGTGGAATAGATTAGAAGATGCAGAAACAACTCCAGACATGCTCAGCCACCTCATCTTTGACAAAGGAGCCAACCAACATCATTGGAGGAAAGATAGCCTATTTAATAAAAGGTGTTGGAAAAACTGGATTTCAACCTGCCAAAGATTGAAACTAGACCCATACCTATCACCATGCACTAAACTAAGATCTAAGTGGATTAAAGATATAAATATTAAGACAGAAACACTAAACTTGCTGGAAGATAAGTTAGGTACAACTCTTGAAGACATTGGCATAGGAAAAGACTTC